CAACCAAATTAATTATAAAAGAGTGGTTTACGCTTCTCTTAAATGTAAGTTGTAACCCACACATGGGCTAAATTCAGCATGTTTATACAAGTGAATTCGCCCAAGTGTGTTGGGCCCAATTATTGGCCCATTAAACCTTATATTTAAACTTAGGTCTTAACCATCATATGAACTCAAGACTATTAATTTGGGCTGAGTTAATGTCCTATTTAAGGCATAAGAAGACACTTGCATAAAATCTCCATGCCAATAAAAATCATAACACTACTAATAGAGAAACACCTCTTCTCTAACTATCAAATGCAATGTTACATCCTCTACTCATAATGGATTATGGGATTAAAACCATTTGCAAATTCTTTATCAAAATAAACTATTTATAGATATAAATAGAGTTTGCAAAACAATTTCAAAACATGTTGAAATCCACTGCTTGTGGTTTTATGTTTTTATCAGAGAGAGTGCATATAAGATGTTATATTTATTTGACAAAGTAGGTGATCTTATCACAACGATCACTCACTAAAATATCTTTCCATTCTACTATTGTGGAAAAACCCAAGAAAACAGATTTGAATGGCACTCAAATCAACGTAAAAGTAGAGATAAAGAGAAACAAGCAAAAAAATACACAGATTTGTGTGGTTCGGCTTATAGCCTATGTCCACGGGCAAAGGAAGAACATAAATCCACTTTGAAGTTGTCAATGGAGAAGAAATACAGAGTTGTGCTTTCATAGAAAAAAAAACCCTAAGCCTCAAATACACCCATTGTCTCACGTGTCTCTCACAAGACAAAGACTCTATTTACAAGAAAGAGAACTCCTGAAATACATAACTCTTTGTATTCGGTTTGGACCTATAAGATGAATATGGATCGGGTCCACCCAAGCCCTATGCATCCACCACAAACCACTATAAAATTTTGCCTTTGGGTTTTTCTCGAATTAATTCGGAGCAGATTCATGAAGTGAGTCACCACAAAGAATTCAAGACACAAACATAACATCTACTTCAATATATCTAGCTATTTGACCGCAAAAGGATCTTATTGGTTGGCACATCAAATATAAATCAATATTTAACACAAGGTGTAGTGTCATTATTAAGTTAGGTAGGTACCAAACCGGCCCAACTCAATCTAATGTGGTCAGTTTTTAACTTAATTTGGTCGGTTTTGGTTTAAAAATATGTATAACCTGATTCATCAATTTGGTTGCGGGTTAAGACCTTGTAAACCAAAATCAAACCGATCCAAACCAATCATCTCTAATACGCTACTTGAATATTAACTCTCTCATGTCCTAATTCCCTCTTTCCAAAAGAGGACGAAAGTGTTTTTATAACCTGACAGAGAAGAACTTGAAAGGAGAGTTTACCTCATCGCGAGTGTCTACAACTGAGGCCCTAGCCTTTAGGGCATGTAGCCATGTACATACAGGTTTGAACCTTGAACTTTGAAATGCAACAGTGTAACTCGGTAAAAGTTGAACCTATTGCCCAATACCTATTACTTTATTAATTCTTTTCCATTACGATGTTTTGAACAATAAATTATCTAATTTTTCTTGTATGGTTAAAACCTAATAAGGAATATTTTCCTTTGAATTGTAGTAGATATGGCGGAAGTAGCTATGAAGTTATAATTTTGAAGGTAAAGAAGAGAAAAAGTTGATTGGGCTTTGGGTATGCCTCGGTTTTGTTGAAATTGAATAAACCGACCATTCAATAGATTCTATTATAAGTCAATTTTTCATTTTCTTTGGTTTGTTTCAATTGTTATAATAATTAATCCGACATATTCGGTTCGGTTGACAAAATTATGGGCAACCCAACCGAACCGATATGTACAACCTAAATTAGGGCATTAAATGCAACTTTTTAGTTTTATGCATTTGTTTCCAAGGTCTAGGGTTAAACTAGAAAAAAGTCTTATTTCTAAAACACTTATTCATTGTACCTTAAGTCTAACGTGAGTAAAGATAGATTATTCCTCAAGTTTATCAATCAATTAAGAACTTTGAAGCCAACATAAGTTTTATAAATGTCTAATTCAATGGGTATTACATAGAAACATACCATATAAATATGAAATAATAATGAACTAAATTTATTTAATAATAAATATTGATTTACATCATTCATGCTAGAATTGAGGGCATATACTGTCTAACACCCTGTCCCTATCTGATTTGGTTATTCCAACCATGGCATTTCAAAAATTATCTTATTCCCTAATTCTAAAATATGTTTTGTTGTCACCATGGATCATGTGGTTTCTGATGGTAGATTAGCTTCACACTTCCTGAAGTCATGGGCACATCTTTATCCAAGGAGTATCTCCCATTTCGTGAGAGATATGATTAGGGGTGTCAATTGATTGGTTTTGGTTTGGATTCAATCTGATCCAAACCTTATCAAATCGGATTTGGACGGTCCATTATAATTATTGGATTGGGCCAATCCAAAATAAACTGGTCTATATTCTTATTGGTTTGAATTGGACCTAAACCAAATTTCCAATAATCCGATCATGAGGCCACATCCTTGTCTAATTTGGAATCAATCAAAACTGAAGCCAGCATAAAATCACTTTTATGAAAGTACTTTTATGAAAGCATTTTTATAAAAGTATTTTTTCAATGTAAAGAATGCTTTTATATAATTTTTGATATTTCATTCAGTTCGGATTGGATCCAATCCAATCCATTTACATTTAATGGATTGGATTGGATTTGATTTGCATTGGATTTGGATTGGATTAGGTCCAATTCATTTGTAAGTGGACTCACATTAGACTAGATCGAATTGGACCAAATCCGTTCAATTGACACCTCTATATGTAATCAATAACTTAACATTAACAAGTATTGAACAAAATTATGTTGATCAAGTTAGTAGAATTTTTAAAGTTTACGATGGAGATGTCCTCATATGGGCTGTAAAAATTGAAAGCAATGAATCCAAAACTTGCACCAAACATGTCTCGAGCAATGTTTGGTCTTAATGGAACTAGCGTTGCGAAGCTAAAGGAATGGATCTTGGCTTGATTTAACAAGGACAAACATACACAACAATCTGCATCACAATTTCATATGTCAGTAACAGGTTCTTTTTTATGGGTTTGTTTTATTAAAGTAGGCTACAAGTATGATAATTTATGGTTTATGATAGATTGCATGGCTCGTTTAAACCCACCTATCCCTGTAATGTACTTTGGTAATTGTGTTGGAATTTGTTATGTGGTGGTAGAGAGAGTTGATCTATTACTAGGAGAGGATGGGATTTTCAAAGTAGCATGCTTGATAGGTGAATCAATTAATAGAGTAAAGAAAGGAGTTCTTGATGGTGTAGAGGTTCGACTTATAAAGATGTTATCTAGGTTATCTGGGAAAAGGCAAAAAGCAGGTTACGTTTGTAGGGTCACTTCGATTTGGGTTTTATAAAAACGACTTTTTGGTTGGGGAAAGCCAAATAAAGTGGAAATTGTTATCAATCGATGTAATTGGAGCCATTTTTTTTTTAAAGAGAGCCATCCGTAATGGAGATGTGTGGGTGGGGGGTGTTCAGATTACTTTGACTCGACTATCAAACATGCCCGATACTTATTTGATGATTCCGATCGACACACACTTACACTTCAACCATCAAATCAGACATAACCATCAATTCTCAGACACCCCAAATACCTACCTGGGAAATCTCAAACCAGAATCTCCAGAAACCCCACCTTACCAAATTTTAGCCAAAAATATCCACATTTCCCTTCTATGTAAAAAGATTCCATTTCGGCCAATTTTGTTAGCCCATAGACACAAAACCCCCTATGTAGTCAGAATCATTTCAACCCTCCATTTTTTGACCCAAAAATCCCCACCATTGAACCAAAAACCCGACCTGACCCCCTTAAACCTGGTTTGACCCATTTTCCCAAAATTACAAAAATACCCCTCTCACCAAATTAAAGGAATGCCCTTGATAAAAAGTTACCCAAAACAATTTTGTTAGCCCACTGCCAAAATACCCCTCTAATGAAATTAAAGAAATGCCCTTGACAAAACTACCCCTCTAATCAATCAACCCAATCACCTAAACTTGGAATGTCCAATTTAGGTAAATTGGTGAAATATTTCACTCTTTGTCTTGATTAATTGAGAGGATCTCTCCCAAATCTGTCTTGATTAATTGAGAGGATCTCTCCCAAATCTGTCTTGACAATCCATTCTCTCAATCAATCTCCCTCCAAAACTCTTTAAACCTCAATCATTGATCTTCCTAGTCTCCCAATCTCAGCCCTTCATTCCCTTCTAGAATCCTCCCCAAAAATCTATAAATACCACCCCCTTCTCACATCTTAGATAGATAATAGAACCTAGACTCAAGCCAGCTTAGGGAAAGAGCTCAACTCCCACGGCCATTACCCACGTCCCGAAGCCTCCCCACTCATTATCCAGCATCCCTATAGTCCCTCCATATCAGTTTGAAGCCAAAGAACACCCTTGGGTCGTGCATCAATTAAAGAGAAGACACTACAAGAAAAATGATCTTTAGCTACAGACAAAACCGTACCTATAGACCTATAGCTACGGATTAACTACGAACAAAAAACCATGGGAGTTGTTCGCATGGCTATAGGCTATAGCTATGGAAAAGAAAATCCGTGGCTAAATCCCACCTATAGCTACAACTGTTGTCCGTAGCCATATGTCTTTAGCTACGGATAAAACTGTAGCTAAAGGATATATCTTTAGCCATGGCTTTATATTGTTTGTGGCTAAAAATATACACCTATAGCTATAGTTTTAAATTATCCGTAGCTAAAATTAAATGAAAATTTTGAACCCATCACTATGGTTCCTATAAAACCTGGCTAAATCCTGAATTTTTTCCCATAATGAATACAAACACCACTTATTTCATTCATAGTTATAATATGGAACATGAACACAAATTTCTAATAAATGATTATATTATTAAAACAATAAATTACATCTCGTGCACTTTTGTATAAATCCATGTGTTCAAAATCTATTACAAATTCAAATTGCTTTAATACATTAAACTTAATAAAAAAAACTTAAACTTGACATATAAAATTTGATAAAGTTTGTCTCCATCCTCACATGTAAATTATCTCCTTGGACGTTCAACCTATAAAGTAAAGAACAAAAAATAAGTATCTCCTGGAGCATGTCCAACCTATATATAAAGAAAAGAACAAAAATAAATACTAGTTTACTAAAGTTAATAACAACACCTCATCCTTGTCAATATCTGGATATAAAGTGCAGTTTGAGTATCATAATTTGGATCATACTTCAAAGAACAATGATTGCTTGTACAATGTGGGTTGCAACCTGCAAGTAGGGCATTCATCGATTCATGTAGCAAAGGACAGAATAGGAATCTACATTAAAAAGACTTCAAGATTCATGTGCATAGCTAACTTTTTGTTGTGTTGGACTGCCATTGGACCAAATAAGACATGTTTGAAAAATTTTGTGGCATTACACCAAGTAATGGATATGGTTCTATAGACAACTAAATAGTGATTACAAGTAGCCCGATGCAGTAATGAGAAGAAAACAAATAAACCAAAATGAAAGCTAATATAAAGATCTTAAACAACTTTAGGTTATGTTTGGTTTGAAGGAAAAGGTAGGGGATGGAAGGGAAAGGCAGGGAAACCTATACAAGGTCTGTAAAGGTTTCCTTGCCTTTCCCTTCCTTTCCTCACCTTTTCCTTCAAAATCCTTAAAGAAAATGCTGATATAAAGCATTTATATCCTTTAAATATAATTTATAAGTACATTCATACTAAGAATTCTTAAGGCTCCATTTAGAAGGAGTACAAATACAAATATGTAGAGTGCAAAACCTTGTATTTTGTATTAATTTGTATGCATTTGTACTGTACATATTTGTATTTGTACTCCTTTCAAACTGAGCCTAAGAGGAAAATAGCACTGGTAGCCTCTAGCCTATTTCATATAAAGGGTACTTGGTTCATCCATTGTGAACTGTTGTTTAAATGGAAGTTTCTTCTCTAAAACAAATCCATTGTGAAGTATTGGTTCATCCATTGGAGCAATGCCTCATTTTCCTATAAAGGGCATTGTACCAATACCTTATACTTGCATGTTCTCCTTTTTTCTATAATAAAATATTTGTTTCTTTAGATAAAACACAAACAATCCCTCACAAGTCCTCTTGTGACTTGAAACTGTTAGCATAACAAATTTTAAGATCTGAGATCCATTCTGACTAGCATTGAATAATGCCCTTTATAGTATATAAAGCAACTAAGGTGAACAATCCATGCCTAGTGAAAATGTGAAATCAATATAGTCAAAGCTTTAATAGTGTCAACTAGCTATTGAGGGGAGAGGGAGGAAATGGTCTAATAAATGTCTCACAAAGGACTTATTATATATAGAGAACAATCAAGAGACAATCAAAGGAGGAATTTATGAACTTCATTGCTTTAACAGTTTTTGTGTATTACATAAAAGACAAGGACTCAAGTGTGGAGACAGAGTAAGGTGCATGTGAAAGATACTTATATTCAAAAAAAAATAAACAAAATAATGATTTGGCTTTAACAAATTGGAGGCTACCATGTCTTTAAATGCCAACAAAGCATATGGATTTTAGCATAATTTCTTTTCTTTTTGGTGGTTAAGCTAGAAATAACATAAGATATAACTAAATTGATAAACTAGCACACAACCAAAACACAAAGAGCAAAGTACTTACCTTGCTACCTTGCTTATCTATGTGATATTTCTTCAAACACTTAGCTTGCATCTTCAGTAACAATTTATGGGTATAACCCAATAAATGCAGAATTCATGCACAAATCAATTTGTGTTTTTGTATTTAACCTAAACTTGAAGTCATCTATGTGAACTCTTCCCAATTCCACGTCCCTAACTTCATATTTAATTTTCTCCTTAAAATTTTCGTATAATGCCCACTTATGAAATATCCAACAATGATCGAGTTAATAAAGGGACAATTTTCAATTAATATATTAATAATTCTATCAAATAACAAGTGATACACTTCTTATCTCAGATACTTTGAACCAAGATTTTTTAATTCTAAAAATGTATAACATAATATAATGAAGAAATCAACATATAAATCATAACTTCTAAAATATGCCTTCTACGACTTCTCTGGTTTAAAGTACATGTAAAAAGAATATGCCTTCTATTGATATATGTCGTAATGAAATCTATTTAGCTAGGTTTTTCTCCTACACCCAAAAAAATGTTGGCTAATTTAAATTAGAGTGGAAATCAAAAAGCCAAAAGAAAGAGATTCTCACACAATAGCCTTGTGTCACTGCCAATAGAGAAGCTGCAAGACATCGTTGGAGGCAAAGACATCAAGGGTTTTCATAAGTTTGTATTATGCTTGAAAATGGTAGTGAAGCGTATGGATGTTGGTCAAGAGGAGAATAAGCAAGAGGCTGACATAGAGCAATGAACAAGGGGAGGAAAGTATTCTCAGAAATGCATTGGATTAACCAACAACGCTAGAGGGAGAATAAATTATAGCAGTTCAGAAAGAAAGAGAAAGAAATAGAGACAGGGATTCTTACCTGAGATTTCTATCAATTGGTTTTAAGTTGGGACGTAAGCTCCGATGGAATGCAGAGTTGGCTTGAAGCACAATATAGATGATCTGCTTTCGACTATTACTTGAAGCATGACAAAGATGGTGTCAGTGGAGCTTATAAACGGAGAAGAAGAGGGTTTGGAGTGGGAGATAAAAAGGAAACACGGGTTGAAAATAGAGTTTAGTGGGAGAGAGAAAAGAGGAAAACTTTCAAATATATGAATTGATATGGGCTATTGCTAAGGTTAACTAGTTTCCGTGGCAATATCATTAGCGGTGCATATGAGCGCTGATTAATGGTTACGGACAACTAAAATCCGTGGTTACAAACAGTTTGTAGCCAGAGATCAAGTGCCCGTAGCCAAAGATTACTTACTGAAATAAACTGTAGCCACAGACATAAAAAGTCTGTAGTTATATCTCATATTTTAGCTATGGATTTTTATGTCCGTAGCAAGATTGCAGTAGCTATATACCTGTTTTTTTGTAGTGAGAAGTATGAAGCCTTCTGAAGCAATATCAGTGTAGAAGGAATTTACAAGCATTCAGCAATTGTTTCACACAATTTGGGCTGCATAACCAACGTCCTTGATCTACCAAAATGAATCAAAGTTCATTCTAAAGCTTGGGGATCACTCAAGGAGAATAAAGCATCCCAGGAAGAGCTCAACAAGTAGATTTATCCTCGATGTATAGGGTATTCAACAGTACGTATTTGGGGAAACAACCATGGTTAAAGTTGTTGATTCAAAATTTGAATGTTGCTGAAATCGTTTATGTGGTGTCATAGTTTTTTTACCATTCAAACAATTTAGTTTATTTTCTTATTCAAGTTTTATCTCTTTTCTTATTTTCCGATTTCTTTTGAATAGTTGAGTAGAATTAGCCCATTAGCATGCATCCGATAAATAAAGCATTGCCTTACTTATTGGTATAATTAACATTTTTTTTACTTAGCAATCGATTTACTTAGTCTTGCTACTTCTCTTCACATTCTCATTTCATCCCTTTTGATGTTAGAAAAAATTTTGAGATTGACAATGAATGCTTTCCATAAAAAAGAAAAAAAAAAAAAAAAAAACAAATGTTGCCACTTGTCTAGAGTCTAAACTAGGTCTCATCCATGGCATAATAGGAATTCTGCATTAAATTTCAATCTTGTTGTTAAGATTTTAAGTGGGACACATGGAAGCTTTGAATTTAAAAATTAATCAAGCCCACCATTCCTTTGTTTAGCTATTTTTTTATCTAGTCTAATTGAACTATCCTTTTTTCTCCTTTAATTTTTCAAGTCTCATGGATCGGTCATCATTTCAAGTTCCTTTCAAGGTAGGAAACATAGCTCCTTTAAATAAGACACTAGCTATGCTTTGCTTGCTCATTTCAATAGAAGGCTTTTTTTTTAAAAAAAATAATTAGCATCATTTAGACCCATACAACATTACCATACTAGGCCCCCTCCCCAAAGCTATTGTTTAGTTACGAATTCATTTCTACTTTATCTACTTTCTCAAAATCCTTTCGGATTAACCGCCAGCCTAAGTTTCCAAAACTGTCGGTATATATGTTTACCAGTGGATGGCCGGAAGTCAATGTCCACTGAGGTGAGTTTCTATGGTATCCAATTAGTAAACATCTATGGTAGAAGTTTGTAGTCATAGAGTTTCTTCAAAAAATAAAAATGAGCAAGATGAGGAGTTACCTTAGTTTTTATGCTATGACCTGATTTTTTATTTTAGAAAGAATGTGGCCCATGACAAGAATTCTTGCCCATCCATGCCCAGAATGAAGAAGAAATAAAATAACGAGGCCCAAAAGAATAAATCAAACATGGCCATAATTGCTAATGCCCTATGGGCAAATATCAAAGAAACCTTCAACATTAGCGTTATTTATACAAGACAGACTAGCATTAATTGATTTATAATATGTACTCCAATTGGAATGTGCATATCACATATATATGTAACTTGTGAAATTATTACAACCTTTGATATGCTTGTTTTGCTTATCAACAATGTGTTAATTGATATATGGACTGTACCCAACAATGGGAAAATATTATTTAAAAAGTTAAACAGCTATAACAGTAGGTAGACCCTTCAAATATATGCGGAGCATCATGTATGAATCTCAAGTTCTCAACCTCATTGTTGTTTTTCGGTATTAAGGATGCTCGCGTTTTCGTTAACTAAACTGTGTGGGCATTTTCTTAAATCGAACTGGTAGTATCGGTTTTTGGAAAATAGATAATCGGAATTGAACTGAAATCAATCGGTTAACCATCAATTCGGTTTATCAGTTTTTTAGTTTTTATAATATATATTATAAAAATATATAATAAAAAATTAATAATATATATAATATTATATTTTAAATGATAAATAATATATAATATATTATAAATATATATTTATATATAATGAATATTTATTAATTTATAATATATAAAAAATATATAATATATAGAAATATATATATACCGGTTGATTTGGTTAATCGCCGGTTTTTTATATTGATTAACCGAAACCGAATTGATACCTTCAGTTTTTTAAAAACACCAAACCGATTAGTTTGGTTAACTGATTTTTCAGTTTGATTTTGATCAATTTTTTTCAATCAGTTCGGTTTTTCAGGTTTTTTTTCTCACCCAATGTATCCATATCTCTCTAGCTAGTAGTTTTCCTCCAGCTTAAATGCTGCTTGGTTCTTTCATGTTTGATTCATGTATCTGCTTTACATTATTGATCAAGGTCTGAAAATTTACATATCAGGTAAGATCTTCCCTGCCTCTCGTATTTCTTAACAGATTTGTTTTTAATGTGTTTAGATTAACAAGTCACTAATTCATGGTGGGTTTTATTCTTTCGTTAACAATTATAAGCAAGTTTGCGGTTGAGCAATCACAGCTGATGACGTGTCAGCAATAATGACTTTGCATTTGGGTTTATAGTTGCATCAAAGAACTGAAGTGTTGGGCCCAAACCTATCCCAAAATTTTTTGGGCTTTATGTGGATTTAGGCTAAGCCGCGAGCAAAGTCAAGAATGATCACCCTCTTAAACAATCATTCAACCTAAAAGATTAAGCCGTTAATTGAGGTCTTTGAATAAGTTTTAGTTCTTTAATAGCCCCTCACATGAGGGTTTATTGGGCTTGAAGAGTGGCCAGAACAGGCCCACCCATACCTTGTGCTGAAACTTAATTAATTATAATAGGGGTGATGAGAATAAAACACTAGACCACTTGGTCAAAGTGGCTCTGATACCATCTCAAAGAACCATTCAACCTAAAAGCTTAAGCTGTTAAGTAAGGTATTTGAATAGGTTTTATTCTCTAACACACCCTACTTTTAACACAACAATCTAGCCATAAATCGAAAACACCTCTTCTCGTTGTTTCCTTGCATTTTAGTAGTGACATGTCATATCAAGATTTAACATATGAAAACACCAAAATACCTATTAATAGGCTTATCAATGACAGATAATTGATAATTACAAATCAGATCTCCTACCCACATGATATTACGGTTGTACATTATCTCCTCATGAATGGGATAATATGCAAATATGGAAGATGTTCTCAACTTACAGCTGTAGTGAGCCGTGAATAGGGTAGGTGTGGATAGGGTTCTTGTGAATAGGAGATCCGAACTGTGATAATTATCGACTTAATATGCCATGATACATATCAATGCTTTGAGCCTTGCTCATAACTACCGACAAGGCAAATGAACACTAGCATGTGGAGATCAACAAAATCTGTATAGAATGATCTCCTACTAATATTGAAAGGGGCTATCTCTTGTTGCTCCCGGCCCTCCTCTGTTCCCTTCCATCCAACCAGATCAAAGTACGATCTATTTTTGTGACTCGATGGTGAATGATGCAGTAGAGGCTTAGATTGCATCTATCTATACTGTAAGGATGGTCTACATCCTACTTTATATAAAGTGTCCCCTATATCACAAGCAAAATGAAGAATCCTGGCCAGTGAACCATAGATGGGTCCAAGATCTCAACATACCATGTGATGCATGTTCATAGACTTTGATCTTAAAATACAATTTTTTTGGTAATAAAATAAAATTTATTGGAAAAAAATAAAAAAAATCAAGAAATAAGAAGAGAAAATAACAAAAAAATCATTAAAAGAGGGCCCAAAAACTAGACCCCCACCAGAATCAACCCAAGCCACTAAAACCAATCCAGATTTCCTGCCCACAACTCTTTACCCACGTTGAATTGCAGCCACACATTGCCATATTGGGTAACATGTAAATAGGAAGATGTTCCCAATGTACAGCCTGTGTGTGCAGGTGTAGATAAGAGATCCAAGCTCCAAAGAAAAAGACTAACACTGTTTAGTTTGAAGAAAAAAGTAGGAAAAGGAACCTTTACAAACCTTGTATGAGTTTCCTTACCTTTCCCTTCCTTTCTCTACTTTTTCCTTCAAACCAAACATAGCCTAAAATAATCTTTACACACATAAGCCCAACCTAAAGCCCAGGCCCAAGCAACAAGTTCACATCTGCGCCCCACAAGGAGGTGCCCCACAATGTCCCACAGTATATCCCCGTCATACATTGGGGACATCTCCCGATGATAATACTAGTCCTGATGATGTCAAAATCGGGAGATGTTCCCAATACATGGGGATGTGCTGTGGGGTGCCCCTTGTGGGGCGCAGATGTGAACTCCCAAGCAACAAAGACACCAACCAAAACTTAAAATTGTTTTAACAAGACCGTCTACCTCTACCTCCCCTCCCTCTGCCCCTTGCATTTTTACAACCTCTCTTACCCAAATTAAGACCAGCGCTGAGTCCAAGGACAAAGCTAAAGGTCCAATTTTTTGATTTCCTGAATCCAGGCAATGCCACCATTGTTATAAACCAGATCATCATCACTGTTAATATGGTCGGAAGAATCAATTGAATTCTTATCATCACCACTAGACCATGCCAAGAGTCAATCACTTTAGGTTGTAACAGAAATTGCTGATCAAACTCGTTAAATAATTTACAAGCTCCCTCATCTCCACCCACAAGGTTGCGTTTGGAAACGATGCAAATGGAGTGTAAATCTTGGTTCAGGGTAAATTTGCACTTTAGTTCACTTTTGCCCATGTTTGGCAATATTACATCTATGCATTTACAAATGACAAACCAATACATACTTACATTGATAATAAGATGTAAAAAAGTACATCAATAAAAAAAAAAAAAGTAAATTTGCATTCAAGTGGACTTTTGATAAAAAAATGCATATGCTTTATTCGAATTCATGTTTGCATCCATTACAG